AGACGTTCGTGTTTAAATCAGCAATCCGATCATCTTCAGTCCACATGAGGATCTTTGACAGCAGCTTTGCGAATGTTATTCAACATTAGGCGTTTCTTCATAGTCGTCTCACTTCTATGCGACTTTGCGAGATAGATCAGCTTCGTCAATCGCGATATGATAAGTACGTTGATAACGTATCACAGTTTTTTTTATTCTTTCGTCTCTTCACCGAGTACGAAAAATCTACTTGAGTCTATGCTCGATATAATTTCACTACTAACAATTGTTATCTAGTGAGAATTTTAACAAAGTCAATATTTATCTAATAAATTCTCATACCTTTCCTGGAGCAGAGGGATGCGAGAGTCGTGGATGTGACTGACACATTTTTTTTTAATTCAAATTTTGATCCGAAGATCGGTTTTAAAACCATTTGCTCCGATACCAAACTGTAACACCCTAATCCGTCCAGGTCTGCAGCCCCATTCGGACTAAAGCATTTAAGTTAGTAATCGTAAAAATTTAAAAATTTTCAAACACACTTTATTAATCCCAATAATATTTTTAAATACATATACAATACGGAGTATTCAACAATATTGCGGAAGCGATTTTAATATTGACATATCATAAATTGTTTCAAAACTTGTCACATCCATCCCGACAATCTCGTCCCATCTGCCGCCAGGATCACATTGTGCTTTCTGCTTACCTGCGTGTAGCAAATAAAACACACTACACGCTTAGCGGTAAAGCTGAGTAAGCATATCTAATGCGTCGAACATCCATATAAACTCAATCTAAATTCATAATCAAATCATTTGATATCATGCACACAATGTTAATTTCAGATATTCACAATTTTGGTATTATTCAGTTCATATCAACACATTTTATTCAATTCAGATATTAATCCAATAGTGCTCTTAAATTATTCTTAATCTAAGGCCAGATCATAACAACGCTCTTAGCTATTCTTAGTCTAAGGCCAGATCATAATAATGCTCTTAGCTATTCTTAGTCTAAGGCCAGATCATAATAATGCTCTTAGCTATTCTTAGTCTAAAGCCAAATCATAATTTCCATAATCACATTCTTAAAGGTAATTATTAATCAGACACTTAAACTATCATTAGTTTAAGGCAATTGATTTCGGACACTTAACTGTAGTCACTTAAGGCAATCAGACACTTAAACTATCATTAGTTTAAGGCAAATGATTTCGGACACTTAACTGTAGTCAGTTAAGGCAACAACAATATAGCGATTGGTCAACAATGGATCATGCATTCCCAATGAGTAATCCTCTAGTTTGGTCTACGAATCCCGTTTATGAATTTATATTTAATTCATCAACTATATATGTTTTCATAAGTTCATTCTAAGATCTAATCTAGAGGTCTTCTAGATAGTCTTAACATTAATTAGCTAATAGGTATATCTTAAAGTTCTTCTAGATATCCTTAACATTATTCATCAATTCATACTCTTAGTTCAACAATCATTTCATCCAGAATATTCATCATCATTAATCCATAATATTCATAAAAATGAACAATCAATCAATCATCATAATAACTAATAACAATCAGCGGCCTAGCATCGAGTGTTAACACCCTAGCTTACCGTCATGCATCACATAAGATCCCTTTTAGTTGTTAAAATACCATCTTTATTCCAAGAAATCATCCTTTTATTAATCATAATGGTTTGGTATCAAAATATAGGATTCCATAACTCAAAAATCATATTTTCTAAATAACAATTGATTAATATATGATAGGAAATACAACTATTAGCTATTAGCTTCATTTTCTTCAATAGTGTAGGGTGACAGTCTACTGTCACTTCTGATAATCTACTGTCTGATGTTCAGAAT